GTCAGAGTGGACCACAGAAGAGAGCCCTGGTATGAGGGTCCCAGGTCTTAGACAGGGGTCCCGGGTACCATGAGGGCATTGTTCCTGGACAAAAGTGGGTCTAGGATGACTCCTCCCAGCGGGCCCCTTGAAGACCGTTTTGCAGCTAAGCTGGGGATACAGGGGCAGACAGCAGTTATGTGCATAGAAGAGAAATTTCCAGTGGATGAAGAAGAGCTCGTCAAAGACGACTTGTGAGTGGCCTGTTATCTAAATGAGGAGACGGGGAGGAAAGCGGGGGAGCCATCCTGTCACGCCAGCGGCCAGTGGGCAGCAGTCTGCATCCTCCATGCGGAGTGAGAGTGAACATCTGACGAGGAAGGAGACACTTAGAGATGGGAGGCGAGCACACAGAGGCCTCTGTCGTCTGCCTGTCATAAAGTCCTTGACTTTATGAAGGTCTCCCCTGCATTATCATGGCATCACTCACACACGCACGCACACACACGCACGCTCACACACACACCCCACAGTCTGCCTTTGGCCCCCCTCCGTTGTGTCTTTCCTCCATGTGTGGGGTGAATGGAGAGCTCTGGAGAAGGAGGAATCTGAGGCTAAGAGGCCATTAAACGATCCAGACATCCCTACTGAGTTTATGAAAATGTTTCTATCAGCTGGAAACAGAGATAGAGCCCATCAAGACTGGTAAAGACAAAACCAAATAGAATTCAGCTGAAGGAAGCAGGAATGAAAGTCTTCGGGCCACCACCCCTTCCCGCGACCCTCAAAGTAATCCTTAAAGCAGGCCGAACAGGGGGAGAAGATTTGCGTCTCCAGGACCTGCTAGGCATGTCATGGTACGCTGGTTGTGCCCTGTCCAAGGGTGACTGGCCTTGGAGTTACACCCCACCGACCCTCCATTTGTCGAGCCAGCTGTGAAAACCGATGTGGGGCTGCTTCAGTCCAGAGAAAGGTATATCTCTTTTCTAATTTGTCTGGCCAGAGTGGGGCACCATTTTCGAGTTCCTGACCCAGGGGGAGCACCGTTCTAGCACCCGAGCAAAGTCACTGCATGGGCCAGCAGCCCTGTTGCGTGCAAGAGGCCAGACCCATTTCGTCTCTTAACCCGACCTCCCAGAATAGCAGAAGGTGGAAAAGGAAGTAAGGAGACCCAACACCGCTTGTCTCATCTGGAAGGCTCCTCAGGTCAGGAACTTCTCACCTTAGCCTGGAACTTATGCTGTTGAGCATGTGTAGACTGGGCTCCTGTGTGCTTTCTCTGAGGGTCCTAGGTCTGATGAGGGCCAGGAGGAAGAGCGGAGGGCATTCCTTCTCTTTGCCACTGGCCTGGACCTAAAACTTTATTCTAGAGATTCTCTCTGGCTCACATGCCCAGCCCTGAGCTGGTCTCAAGACCCCAGCTTTCAGCCCATCCAGATGGAGACAGGAGGTAAAACAAGCAATTACTGCCCCTCGCCTCAGTAAGCGTGCTGTGGCAGACAGAAGCCACTCATTTTTGAATGAGTGAACGAATGAAAGAGTGAATGTTAGAATGAATGAAGTAGAGAGTTTGTGCTTTCCTGGCCTGGAGCTCAGAGAAGGCTTTCAAGAGGAGGTGATATGTAAACTGGAAGATGAATAAATTTAGCCATGTGAAGTGAGGAAGAGGGGAACAGTGTTCTAGGCAGAGGAAATGGCATAGGCAAATGGCCTGGGGTTGGGAGAGCGAGATGTGGTGGTAGAACCAAGAAAGCTTTCTAATCGATTGGCCTAAGGTCGTGGGGGCCAGAGTGGGGGGGCGGGTATATGGAAGAGACGAGGTTTGTGCAGGACACAGGGTTGAGCTGTCACGCATGTCAAAGAATTTAGATTCATCCAAAGAAATGGGACTTTTAAACAGGCAGGAGAGGTTGGTATTTTCAAGCCCCAGGGTCAACCCAATGAGGACCTTTCAGTAGTACATTTATCTCTGTTTTTCGTGACGATGGGAGAGCATGATGCCTTAGAGAGTTCTCAGTTCTGATCACACAAGTTGCACGTGGATAGTGGTCGTGGTCAGGTAGCGACACTCTGAAAGTGTCCCTGTGAGCTCAGGATGTGGGGTTGAGAATGCGAAAAAGGCAAAGTCCCCTTCTATATCCACGAGCCCCGAGGGGCCTTATGTTCAGGAGATCCTTCCCCCTGGGGACTCCTGATGCACCAGGACATATCCTTTGAAATTAGTAGTCAAGGTGGAAACAAGTACCTGGGCAGAGAAAGGCCCAGACTGGATGCCTCCAGGCAGCAAAAGCCGTAGGATACTGGAAACCATTGTATTCATGGTCCAGCCTGGTTCCTTCCAGGAGGGGCTCACCTGAGTCACTTGTGATACACTGGCTACCAAACATTCACTGTCTCTGAGGCAAAGATTCCATGAGCCCATCCCCAGACCAAGCCCCAGCCTGAGAGCCCAGGTCCCAGGGTCTAATTGCCTGGCACGATGCCTTGTCATTCCTGACAGAGGTGGTGGAAATACACATGTAGCCATTGAACTCTCAGAGGTGGGAAAGATATGGCATCCAACTTGCAAACTGCAAGACAAAAAGGAGCTGAATGGAAAAAGGGCCTTTACGTTAATTTTTAAAGAAGTCTCACACTAGAAAACCCCACTTGGGCAACCTTATTTTGAGGTCCCTTGTCCCAGAGCAAAGCTAGCCAGATTGCCAAGCATGTACAGTGGCAGCCACGCTGGGTGGAACCTGGTAAAGCTGGACCACCACCTTGTCTGTGTGCAAAGCCTCCTGGGAGAATCCGCAAAGGAAGTCCCACCTCCCCAGCTCCAGGAGCTGATATCCTGAGCTGGTGGAGTCATCACTTATTCTCACAGTTCCGTTGTCTCTGTATCTCACCCTCATGACCAACTGCTGAGAAGGCAGAAGTGTTTCCTTAAGAAAGCCCAGAAGTCCCCCTTCTTTAGGCCCAAGGTGCACGGGAGAAACTGGGTGGGAGAAGCAGGCTTTTGATGGTGAGGCCTACACTAATATTTGCAGGGCCTGGGACAAGCGCATAGAAGGAGAGCCACACACTATATATGCAAATGTTTATAAGTCAATCCATCAAACTTAGATGAAATAGGTTCTCCTATCTTGGCAAACGTACCTTCGAAATGATCTGGAAAGTCAGATTTGGATTTAGAATCTTGGACCCCTCGGAGCGCCAGGCCACAACATGACAGTTTAGGGAGAATCTGCCCCGAGGCCCTGGCCCCTCCCATTCTCCCCCCATGTCCTTGCATCGTCCAGCACCGTGATGGACCTCCCACCCAAGCACACGGACACCTAAGCCTGAACATCCAACTGCTGTTCAAATAGCCACACTTGGACCTAGGAATGTGCACACTTGAAGCATGGTCTACCCCTGGGAGAACAGATCCATGGATGGTCCTGCAGAGACCCTGGAAGGGGACTCAGGGTCATTTAAACAGAGAATTCTGGGATTTCAGGTCCCCAGAGAGTCATTTCAGGGGGCGTGGTTTACAGGTGGTGCCTTCCCAGCCCCACAGATTTCTCACCCCAAGGGGATGGTTATCGCAGGAGGAGACCCAGGGCAGAGGTCCATCTTGCCCACATCTAAGCATGGTATTGTTGGGGGACCAGAACCAAACCCACTATGTCATCCCAGCTGTGAGACTGGTCTGAACGTTTAAAGAAAACCATCCATTGTACTTCTAAACACACCATAGCCTTCCCGAGGGCTGTCTCTCCCTCGCCTCCTTTACTCCTTCATCTGTCCTAGATCAGCCCCACACAGGATCCTGGGGACCCCTCCTCATTCCCAGGCACCCCAAGGCAGCCCCTCCCAAAGCCGTTTGTCACAAGCACACCTTCCCTGTTCCCCGCCCCCCATCTTGACACCTTAGATTGATGCGAACTCTAGCCGCCATCTGCATTGTCAGCAAGGGTTTCTTGATCCAACTTGGGCATTAAGGGACTGATGAGGTTAGTGTTGATGGCTTGCGGTCCCGTTACTGAGAAAGCCAACCAGAAGTGATGCTTCACCTGTCAAGAACACTGAAAACCCAAAACCCAAAGTTCAGGGCCAAGTGTGAGGATGTACAGAAAGGTGTGTGTTTTTTCTTGTCATTTGCGACTCTAATGATGGACTCACCTTGCCCGCTCTTCCCTTTCTCTTACACCTTACCTACCTACTAAAGGAGGAGTTCTTGCTTGGTAAGTGGATATAATCCGCAAAGACATGAGAGAATTTATTAGAAGCCACTCGAGCGCCTTAGCTACCTTCTCCAGGGGGAAAAGGACACACGCAGATATCCGTAGAGAGCTTTTTTTTGTTTGTTTTCCGTCAGACAGTTTGACTTCCATTTTTTATTTTTTGTCCCCTCTTTCTTTTCCCCTTTAGTTGAAAACTACTAAAATATCATTTTGTGACCTTGACTTTATATTAAAAAAAACCTCTCATCTTTATTTCATTTCTTTTCCCCACGTGATATTTGTTTAGGGTTCTATTCGGGCAACTTTTTCTTTAAAAAAAAAAAAAAGTCAAATTTGTTGAGGATTTGGTTGACGTTTAAAATTTTGGCTTTATCTCCTTTTTTTGTTCTTAAGTTTCAAGATATATTTTTTCAGGCCCATAGCCTCCTTTCTTTCCCCCCACTTTTCTTTATTTTTATTATTGTTTTAGGTTAAGGGTGTTTACACCCCCCCCTTCTCTTAAGTTGTTGCTTTCGTTTAATTCCTTAGAAATTAAATTTTGTATAATTTCCTTTTCCTTTTGTTTAATCTGGATCGCATGCTTTTTTCTCTGCATGATACTTAAATCTTCCAGTTATCCTAGCAGGGGGTAAAACAAAGATCTCCTTTCTGTGGTATTCTCTCAGGAGTTTGTGCTTTTGTTTTTGGCGTCTCTCCTCTCCTCTCTCTCTCCTCTCGTTACAGTGCATCATGATGGTAAACATTTCTTGGTTACTTAGACACAGCCCGCAGACCCAGCGCGCAGCAGTGTCCGACGGGTGTTTTTGCTTTCAGATCACTGGGCCGGGGGCTGCTACCCTCTTTACCAGAACTGCCAGGCTGCTCGCCACGTCCCGAGGACGCTCCCAGGAGTATGACTCGGGCAATGACACCTCCTCGCCACCCTCCATGCAGATCAGCTCAGCCAGGTCTCGGGGTCAGGAGAAGGAGAGCCCCACTGGGGGCCTGAGCAAGAGCCGGGGCCCCAACAGCGGCAACACCTCTGATTCAGGGAACTCCTTCACCACCTCCTCTCCCCAGAACGAGGGGGCCGCTTTGGAGAATCTCTCCCCCACCAGCAGGGGCAGAGAGTCAAGGTCAGTGCACCTGGGCGGCAGGAGGGGGTCCTGCCTGAGCTCCACAATCTCAGTCTCTCACCCTAGCCCTACACCACACACACAGACTCCAGCTCTTTTATTTGAGAGAAAGAGAGAGAGATTGGCATCATTTTTGAAAAAACTATCCAAGGAGATCAGCTTCAGGTATAGCTGGATCCAGGGTCTCAAAAAATACGTCATCAGGAATCTGTCTTTCCTATTACATCTCTCAGTTCTGCTTCCCCCTCTCTTGGCTTTATTTTCAAGCAGATCCTCCCAAAGCATTGGCAAAGATGCCATCCAGTTAACATTCTATCGGTCTAGCCAGCCAATGGAAGGAAAATGCCTCTTTCCCGAGAATTTCAGCAGAATATCAGGGCAAGTGCTCATTGACTCTGCTTGGCCCAGCTTGGGTCATCTGCCCACACTAGACCAATCACACTGCCCAGGGGATGCAGTATTCTTGGCTAGAACTTGTCGTATGCCACCATCAGGGCTAATGAGTCTTCCCATGTACACTAAAACTGGGGAATGTCTGGTTCTCTGAAGGAGAAGCAAGGTACTGTTATCAGGAGGAGGGATGGAGGCTGGGCAGGAAAAAACAGATGTCAGTTTACCAATAATCAGAGGAGAAAGTCTAACATTTAAAGTCACTGTCATTTTAAAATATGCCACAGTATTTACCCAAACGCATTGAAAATTTATGTCCATACAAAAACCTACACATGGATGTTTTTATAGCAGCTTTATTCATGCCCAAATTTGGAAGCAACCAAGATATCCTTCAATAGGTGAGTAGATAAGTAAACTGTGGTCCATACACACAATGGAATACTATTCAGCACTAAAAAGAAACAAGTTACTAAGCAATGAAAAGACAGGGAGGAAACTTAAATCCATGTTACTAATAGAAAGAAGCCAATCTGAAAAGGCTGCATATTCTACGATTCCAACTATATGACATTGTGGAAAAGGCAAAGCTATGGAGACGGTGAAAAGATGAGCGGTTGCCAGTGGTGAGAGGGTGGAGAGGGGTGGATCTGCCTGCCTCAGGGCATCCCTGGCCTCAGTTCACACCCAAGCTCGGCTGGGAGCCAGGGCTGGGTCAGAGCAAACGTCCATGTCTCCAAGAACAGGCAGTGATGTTCCCAGATATCTACTCATATACTTCAGGGCTGTTATGCAGGAAATACTGAGAATAGCAATAACAACAACAACAACAATAATAATAACAGCAGCTATTATTTATGGAGCCCTGAGGTACTATGCCAGGTGCTTTCCATAGATAATCTTCCTAAACTCCTTCTAAAACCTTTATGGGATAGGTTCTGTTATAATTCTTTTTTAGCTGATGGGGAAACAAGCTCAGAGCAGTTAAGAACCTCACTTAATAAGGGCCGGCACCGGGATTGAAACACAGATCTGTCTCCAGAACTGGAGTTAAGCCTGAACGGCATTTAGCAGTTACCTGCTTAATCTGATCTATGTGGACAGCCAAATTAAGTAACTTAGACCCAGCCTTTCACTGTGAAGTATAAATGATCTTTAAATCCGTGGCTATTTATGTCATGTCAGCTATGAGCAGAGGGCAGAATGGAAGAGACATCAGCTCTAAATCAGGGGAACCACAGACAGTAAAGGCAGGGGCTGGCAAGGTAGCAGGGACATGGGCTTCAGGGCTGGACAGATCAGAGTTTGAGACTCTGGGTGGCCGTGAGCAAGCAACTCACCCTTCTGGGTCTTTTCTGTAAATAAGGGATAATAATAGTGCCAACTTCCTAGGGTTGTTGGGGGCTAAATGAGATGATGCTGTGAAGCTCCCAGGATGTGCAGGGGCTCAGCCTGTTTATTCCACAGCTATTTATCAATGACCTAGGACATTTGTCTCAGGCTCTGTCCTGGTGCTGGGATACAGTGTCCAGAGAGACATGAGTCCTGTCCCCAGGGAGCTCCATGTCTGGGGGAGGGAGACAATTATAAGACCAAGCGAGCCATCTAGGGGTGGGGGAAGGCATTGGAGGCTGGGGGCTCTGATAACACAATGGAGGTCACACAACCAGTCTTAAGGGGATCGAAAGCCTGAACCATGAGTAAGAGTTGTCAGGTGAAGAGGGTTCCAGGCAGTGGGAATGTTCTAAAGCCTGCAGGCAAGGAAGGGAATAGGAATATTCCAGGGGGACAAGTAGTGCACTATGGCTGGAGTCAAGAGAGGGAAGTGCCCGAGCTGAGACTGGCGTATGGGCAGGGGCTGGGTCACGATGAAACTATATGAATGTTATTTGAACTTGACCCTTGGCCCAATCCCAATGAGCATGTCCTTACTGAGAACCAACAGGAACCCAGCATGGTTCTAGGCAAGGTGAGGATATGACAGGACCCTGTGCTTTGGGTGAATTTGAACAAGCCTCCACCCTTCTTTGGGTCTCCAGTCCCCCATCTGCAAAATGGGCTATGCCAGTTTCCCAACTTAAACCAACTACATGTCACTTTCTTGAATCATTCTGTATCCAGATACTACTGTTACTCTCATTTACTTTAATAAACTCACTTTTTAATATAAGGAAACTTGTAGTACTAGCTTAAATAGAAAATTTGTATCACCTGTCCTCAATAGAACGCACCTGTGAAAATACATATGATTCAATCACTGTATTTAATTCTGGTTAGTTACAGTTGCCTGCCCAAGGTTCTGAGTCTCAGGCCTGCTCTCTCTCTCTTTGGGAGATTGCAAGCATTAAAGAGACAGTAAAAACCCCCTAGTACCCAACCTGGGCTTTCTCATTCATATGATCAGAGGGACTGGAAAGGGACGAAATCTTCCACCATGTAATTTGATCATACCCATCATGCACCCTGTGGTGTGTGTCCTACTCTATCTCTGCTCCACTAACATCCGTGGTCTGGGAAGTCTTTCCAGAGGTAGTAAGATGGGGAAAGGTGGATGGGGGGTTCTGAGAGCACCACAGCCGAGGCAAAGTACGGAGGTGAGTATCAGCTGAAGATGCCCTGGACCAGCGGGCGGGGCCAGTGCTAACAGCCATTCTCCCCTCTGCAGAGGATTCCAGTCGCCATGTCTGGAGTGCACCGAGGTGAAGAAGTCCAGTTTGGTCCCACCCACAGCCCGGAGCTCCCCCATGAGAGGGCGCTCCCGCAGCTCGTCCTGTGCCAGCGCCCACTCCTCCAGATCTCCAAACCCCAGGGCCTCCCCCAGGTACACCAGGAGCCGATCCACCTCTTCTGGGAAAAGGTGAGTGCAATTTTGACCTTGGCTCTGCAGCTAGTTAAGGTAACTGGAGATGTCGTTTGACCACCAAGCGACAGAAGTGGAACAGATTTGAGTTTGAATGCCCATTCTATCTATTACTCACTGGTGGCCTTGGTTGTCAGTTAACCTGTCTGAGCCTTAGTTTCCTCCCCTGCAAAATGAAAACCGTAACAATACTTACCCTGAAGGATTGCTCTGAGGACTATAAGACACTTAGATCAGTACTTGGAATATAATATCAGTTTTGATTGTTGTTATTGGCATGAGGATGCATTCATGTGTATCAGTTATCTTCTGCTGCATAAAAATTATCCCCCCAGTGTAGCATCCTTATCAATAAGTTTTTCCTTGGTTCTTGATTCAGTGGATCAGCAGTTTGGGCTGGGCTCAGCTGAGTGGTTCTTCTTCTGTTCTCTCTTGGGTTCATGCATGTGTCTTCCATCAGCTGGTGGGTTGTCTGGGGGCTGGCTGGTTTGAATGACCCCAGCTGATTCATCTCTGCTCCATGTGGCCCCACATCTTCCAGCAGGCTTGTCTGGGCTTGTTCACATGGTGATGGCAGGGTTCCAGGAGATAGCAGTAGTGTGCAAGGCCTCGGCTTGGAACAGGCATGAGCTCTTCAGCTGTTTTCTTAGCCATTGCAAGTCAGAGGACCAATCCAGATAGATGCAAGGGATGCTCCTCTTAGTGGGAGGAACTGCAAAATCACACTGCAAGGGGCATGGATACAGGGAGAAGAATTGTGCCCATTTTTTTCACTTTACCACTCAATTCTAATAACCCCTGGTTATTGTTTGATTTTCTCATGTGGAATAACGATATGGCAGAATGCAGAGACATGCGATCTCAGGAATTGGAAGATTCCATCCAATCTAACCAACCCACAGCTTCATGGAGTCCAGCTTCCCTCTACAAACAAGAACTTCCAACAGCAACCCAACTATTCCTCTTCTGCAACCATGTCAAAAAACAGTTGCTTACGTAGGTGGTTACCTCAAGACCAGTTCATTCAAAATAAGGAGGCAAGGAAGCTAACAGAAATATTCAACATGATAGAGTAACATAAGTAGAAGAGCAAGTCAGGCTAAAAGGAAAATTGAGAGAAATAAAATTAAATCAGGAGGAAGGTTAAGTCCCAAAGGCATGTCCTACCATTCTGTACGGTTGGCCATCTGTATCTGTGGGTTTCACATCCCTAGTTATGAAAGGCCAGTGTATTCAATATACTATGCCATTTTATATAAGGGACTTGAGCATCTGCAGGTTCTGGTATCTGCAGGGACTCCTGGAATCAATCCCCCGCAGATACCAACGGATGACGGTTGTTGCTATGGAGGTGTGCTGCAAATGTGACTCTGAGCTCCCTGGCAGACAAAGCAAAAAGGGAAATTGTCCCTTTACATTATTAAAAAAAAGATAAAAATTGAACCAGTTGCTTGGAAGAGCAGTTATTTCTGATTTTTAAGTATGAAAAATGATTCACATGGCTCCACAGAAAAGGGACACTATGTGGTACAGTGGATAGAAATGCCTGACATCCTTTCAAAGTGTCCAAAAGCATTATTTCATCGTAACTCTTTTTTATAATGTCTCTCAATATATAGCCAAAGAGCAAGTTGGCAAAGCAAATTTTTCAGGGGCCATAGCTGGACACTGTCCCAGGGCACTAAGACTGGAGGAGCTATTCCTTGTCCACACTCCTTCCATCATGCTGGGCAACATGTAAGAATAGAGTCCCAAGGCGATGGTTATTATGATCACCTAAGAAAGTAGGAAGGGGCTAAGGAACACCTGGGTGAGGGCAAGTCAGAGCAAGACTTCTTTTCAAACTGAAAAGGATAGGAAAACTTTGCTAGCATTCCTGTGAGGGAAAGCTGGCAAAAACAGAGCATGAGAGAGTGTCCCCCCTACTCATTCCTGTGCCTGTAGCAGACATTGCTAATCCATCCCAGCCCTCTTTCCCACTGAACACAGACATGGCCACATAATCCCTCTGAACCCTGGCAGGAACTACTAGCAGATCAAATCAGCAACTGTGAGATGAAAATTATTTGAAAGACTGAGAAAGAAGGGTAGATGTTCCTAGGAAAGTGGTGGAGAAACTAAGGCAGTCGTTCTCTAAACGTGGGAGGCATTAGCAAGAGGGAAAAAGACTGGAAATAGCATAGGGGTTAGTAATTCGGATGCACAACAGTGTAGTCTAGCAGAAGTCAGGAGCACTTTGTAGCCAAACAGACCTGGGTTCAAACCCCTTACCAGCTGAGTGACCTTGAACAAATTATTGGGTTGGCCAAAAGGTTTGTTTGGTTTTTTCTGTAAGATGGCTCTAGTAGCACTTAGTTGTCTTTAACTTGATTCAAAACAATTTTGTTAGAGTGTAGGTGACAGCTGTCATATCAGTGTGCATGAGGGAGGATATTTGGGGATATATGTATATGTATAGCTGACTCACTTTGTTATAAAGCAGGAACTAACACCATTGTAAAGCAATTATACTCCAATAAAGATGTTAAAAGGAAAACAATATATTAAAATTAATAAAAGTATTACATATAATTATATTAAATATATAAAACTTTTAAAAAATAAAGTTTCAAAATTTCAAAAAACAGACATCAAAATCGGTTAATTTTTGTGTAGCCATTTTAATATTGGAGATGGAAGAAAAACAACATTTTTGGCATACTATTCTTTATTATTTCAAGAAAGGTAAAAATGCAACTGATGCAAAAAAAGATTTGTGCAGTGTATGGAGAAGGTGCTGTGACTGATCGAACGTGTCAAAAGTGGTTTGCAAAGTTTTGTGCTGGAGATTTCTTACTGGACGATGCCCCACGGTCGGGTAGACCAGTGAAGTTGATAGCGACCAAATCGAGACATTCATTGAGAACAATCAACGTTATGCCATGCAGGAGACAGCCGACATACTCAAAAAATTCAAATCAAGCGTTGAAAATCATTTGCACCAGCTTGGTTACGTTAATTGCTTTGATGTTTGGGTTCCACATAAGTTAAGCGAAAAAAACCTCCTTGACCATATTTCTGCATGTGATTCTCTACTTAAACGTAATGAAAACGTTCCGTTTTTAAAACAAATTGTGATGGGCGCTGAAAAGTGGTTACTGTTCAGTTGTCTGGAGCGGAAGAGATCGCGGGGCGAGCGAAATGAACAACCACACCAAAGGCTGTTCTTCATCCAAAGAAGGCGATGTTGTATCTGTGGTGGGATTGGAAGAGATTCCTCTATTATGAGCTCCTTCTGGAAAACCAAACAATTAATTCCAACAAGTACTGCTTCCAATTAGACCAACTGAAAGCAGCACTCAATGGAAAGCATCCAGAATTAGTCAACAGAAAACGCATAATCTTCCGTCAGGATAAGGCAAGACCACATGTGTCTTTGATGACCAGGCAAAAACTGTTACAGCTTGGCTGGGAAGTTCTGATTCATCCGCCACCTTTGAACAAGACATTGCACCTTCAGGTTTCCATTTATTTAAGTCTTTACAAAATTCTCTTAATGGAAAAAATTTCTATTCCCTGGAAGACTGTAAAAGGCATCTGTAACAGTTCTTGGCTCAAAAAGATAAAAAGTTTGGGGAAGATGGAATTATGAAGTCGCCTGAAAAATGGCAGAAGGTAGTGGAACAAAAGGGTGAATATGTTGTTCAATAAAGTTCCTGGTGAAAATGAAAAGTGTGTCTTTTATTTTTACTTAAAAAGCAAAGGCACTTTTTGGCCAACCCAATACATCATCTCTCTCTGCCTCTGTGTCCTCATCTATAGAATGGGATTGATAATAGTACCTAACCCTAGGAAATGCTGAGGATTAAATAAGATAATATACACAAAACATTAGTTCAATAAAAATAGAACTACCAGGCTTCCCTGGTGGCGCAGTGGTTGAGAGTCCACCTGCCGATGCAGGGGACGCGGGCTTGTTCCCCGGTCCGGGAAGATCCCACATGCCGCGTAGCGGCTGGGCCCGTGAGCCATGGCCACTGAGCTTGCGCGTCCGGAGCCTGTGCTCTGCAACGGGAGAGGCCACAACAGTGAGAGGCCTGCGTACAGCAAAAAAAAAAAAAACAGAACTACCATATGACCCAGCAATCCCACTACTGGGCATATACCCTGAGAAAACCATAATTCAAAAAGATACATGTACCACAATGTTCATTGCAGCACCATTTACAGTAGCCAGGACATGGAAGCAACCTAAATGTCCACTGGCAGATGAATGGATAAAGATGTGGCACATATATACAGTGGAATATTACTCAGCCATAAAAAGGAACGAAATTATTTGTAATGAAATGGGTGGACCTAGAGTCTGTCATACAGAGTGAAGCAAGTCAGAAAGAGAACAACAAATACCGCATGCTAACGCACACATATGGAATCGAAAAAACCGGTACTGATGAACCTAGTGGTAGAGCTGGAATAAAGACGCAGATGTAGAGAACGGACTTGAGGACACAGTGCGGGGAGGGGAAGCTGGCACGAAGTGAAACAGTAGCATTGACATATATACACTGCCAAATGTAAAGTGGATGGCTAGTGGGAAGCAGCTGCATAGCACATGGAGGTCAGCTCAGTGCTTTGTGACCGCCTAGAGGGGTGGGATAGGGAGGGTGGGAGGGAGGCTCAAGAGGGAGGGGATATGGGGATATATGTAAAGCAGAAACTAACACACCATTGTAAAGCAATTATACTCCAATAAAGATATAAAAAAAATTAGTTCAAAATCTGGCACATAGTAGAATATATAATATATAATAATAAACATTTCCTGTGTGCTGACTATATGCCAAGATGCTAAGTAATTTACCCTAATTTACCCTAATTTACACGTTTAATTTACAATTCTATGGGGTAAGTACAACTACCCCCATTTTACAGATCAGAAAGTAGTGGCCCAGAGAAGTGAAATCAACTGCCCAAAGGTCACACAGCTAACACGTGGCCAGGAGAGGAAGAACTCAATAAGGGGAAGTTGTTGATATCATTATTAACCATCCAAAAGGGAGGGGATTTCATCCTCAGGTAAAGGCTTGGTTCCTTTGCCTGGCCTCCAGAAATAAAAAGGCCTGGAGACCAGCTGAATAAAACGCTGGACAGACGGGGCAAGCCCGGCAGAGCTCAGCAGGCCCCTCAGAGGCTGTCTCCTCTCTTCCAGGTCCTCCTCCCGCTCTCGCAGCTATTCCTCCAATTCTGGCAAGAGGAGCCCGCCTAGCAGAAGCTCTAGGTCCCGCCGAAGCCCCAGCTACTCCCGCTACAGTCCCAGCAGGTACCGGCCCCGTTCCGCCCCCCCACCCCCACACCGCCCCGCAGTCCCCACTCCTTTGCTCGGATTCGCCTGTCTGGCATCGCCTCCTCGACTTGCTTCTCTGGGGCGTCTCCCAAGCCCCGCGAGCTCCTCTCTGGTCAAGCCCTGCCGGGCTACGGATGGGAGATGACTCAGCATCATAGTGGTTCCCTTTGCCGTGTCTGGAGTGGCAGTCAGGCCCCCAGTACATCCCAGCGTTCTCATGTACTCACCCCAAACACTCCAACGGCCACACCCCAGCCCTCAGACTCTTCGCACACCTAATACTACTCCTCATCCCTATGTCCATACCCCCCAGTTCTGATTCTTACTCGGCACCTGGGCCCACCTAACAGTCATATCCTCACCCTGAAATGCCCACCTTCAAAGGCTGACACCCCTACACACGTCGAGCTGCAAGGCCCTCCCCCGCCCCCGGGTACCCACCCATCCATGCAGACTCTCCCCACAGCCGTGTCATTTTCCCTCCCACCTCCCTAGGGGCCCCGTGCAGACCCCATCCCTGCCCCAGCGAGGGGGAGGGCAAAGGTAAGGAGGAAGTGAGTGCCCCCCTCCCACCGAAAAGCCAGGCCAGCCCCAGCTCCCCAGTAACATCCCCACCGCACCCCTTCAGGGAGCGGGACCCCAAGTACAGCGAGAAGGATTCGCAGCAGCGGGAGCGCGAGCGAGCGCGGCGGAGACGTCGGTCCTACTCGCCCATGCGGAAGCGCCGGAGAGACTCCCCGAGCCACCTGGAGGCGCGGAGAATAACGAGGTGAAGCCAGGAGGCACCCACCTCCTGCCTCATTTCCACTCCCTTCCCACCCGCTGGGGTCTCAGACTCTCCCCAGGCCTCCTTGGGGCTGGATCGCAGGATTGTGGGAGCTCAGGGACACCCTGCCCCCCATCAGCCACCGAAATGAAGTTTCTGTTCACAGCCTCGGGCGAGTCAGCACCCTCACCCACCACGCGGGCTTGCAAGAAGGGGGCGGGGCCTAGGCCGGCGGGGTGGGGTAGGATGCAGTGGCTGGCCAAGGGGTGAGCCCAGCCGGAGGAATAGGGTGTGGCCGGAATATGCGCATGCAGCTGGGGCGAGGGAGGCGGGGCTGGGCCATATGGAACGGGGACCCAAGCAAGGAACAGAACCGGGACTTTGCGTGGGGGCGGAGCCAGGCGGTGGCAACAGACCTCCGCCCTTAGACCCACAGCCCGAATGCAAGGCTTGAATAGACCCATAGGTAATTATACCCTGAACCAAGTGTAGGGAGGGCAAACAGGATTGTTTAGGTGCCAAAAGGACTGGGAGGGGGCCCTAGTGGGTAAGGGGAGGAGCACTGTTTTGGAGAGGAATGTTGGCTCTGCCACTTTCCAGGTGAGCTGGGAAAGTCTCTTCATCTCCCAGAATCTAAGTTTTCTCACCCATGAACTATTGGAGGAAATAACTCCCAGAAGTATCATAAGGATGAAATGAAAAGGGGCGAAGAGATGTGAATGCAGTTTGTAAACTTACATGCAGAACACTAGAACCCACTGTGTTCCACGGTGATGGACTGAATGGCCAGACTAGATGGATAAAGATTCCTGTAACAGATAAAGTCTCGGACGAGAAAGGCCCTAGAAGAGAAGCCTGAGGTCTAAATGGACACAAATTTCTCGGACCTTGAAATGGAGAGAATGGCTGAATGTTGCCCTAAAAATGGCTCTTGACAATCGGTTGGCCTACCTCCTGGTCCTCCAAGGGTCAGCTGCTCAGTCCAGAGACCCACAAGTATCCCGGCCTCCCACGCCTCCTCCCTGGAGATGACGTGAAGGGAGGAAGAAGAGCTTGTGCCCCAGATAGTAAGGCAGGGTAATGGCATTGCCTTCTCAAGTGTCTCACAGAACGCCCTGCCTTGGCCTGGCACGCGGGAAGGGAGTCCTACACCCACTGCCTTGACTTTCGAAGGTATCCTTGGAATGGACTTGGAGGAAGGCTGAGAGGAAGAGAGTTGCATTTCCAAAAGACGCTCTGGTTTCCATACTCAACCCCAAATAGTCCATCATGATGAACCCATTCAGTGTTTCCCAAACTTCCATCCCCCACTTTTGCCTTGTCTGATTATTAAGTGTACCCTTTACTTAATTTTCTGTAAATAGATGTGCTTTTTTTTAAAAGGTCCATACATTTATTTCAAAAGGAAACTTGATGCACTACAGTGAGTGGAAAATCAGCCTCTTCTTTTTGCCATAAATAGAAGGTTCTAGTAAAAATAAAAATAGCAAAACAAAACTGTTGCCAGCTGGAGGTTCTCCCTGAGCCCAGCCTTGCTGTGTTTAAAAAAAAAAAAAAGTGAGATTATGACTTTTCAAAACATATCAGCAGTAGACTGAAAGCATCTCCTTGATGTTCTCAGGACTGCAAGGGAAGAGTATGGGAATTTTTTTTTCCTGAGGAGCTGGGAAATGTCTCTTGGGATAGTGCCTGTGCTCCCTGGATTGAGGCTGGGAGGAGTCTTGCCCTCATGCCGTCTCCCTCTGGTCCCTGCAGTGCCCGGAAACGCCCCATCCCCTACTACCGGCCCAGCCCCTCTTCATCCAGTGGCCTCAGCAGCACCTCCTCCTGGTACAGCCGCTCAGCCAGCCGAAGCTCTTCCCGGAGTCCGAGCCACAGCCGCAGCCACAGCCGCAGCCACAGCCGCAGCCGCAGCCGGACCCGCACTAGCAGCAGCTGCAGCTCCCGCAGCCCCAGCCTGGGCTCTCGGAGCCGGAGCCGGAGCCGGAGCCGGAGCTACAGCTCAGCAGACAGCTACTCCAGCACAAGGCGCTAAGCAAAGGCCCTCCCTTGAGCCAGCTGCCTGTGGTGCCCCCTTCACTCTGCCAGCCTCCCCCACTCCCTGCCCACCCTGCCTTCTCCTTGGTATAGACATTGAGGGCTCCTGGGCCCTGTCCTTCCTGCTCCCCTGGGGGCGGGAGGAAAAGAGGGTATGGGGGCTTCAGCCTCTATGTCGAGCTCCTAGGAGCCTCCACCACACCACCCTGGGGCTCAACTCAGGCCTGAGCATGTGGAGTGAACCACCTTCTGTTGGCACAGAGAAATCTCAAAGGTTTGTAAGAAGCGATGGGTCCGTGACTCAAAAGTTTGGGTCAGGCCAGGAAAATGTAGAGAGAGCTCTGCTCACCCACTGCTGGCAGGTGGCACACGAAGGCCAGTGTGCTTCCTCACACCTGCCCTCATTCTCCTCTCATTCAGTCTCGTGGCTGCATGTGTGTGGACCCTGATGGGAGTGAGGGGTGGATGTTAGAAGAGACCAAGGGCAGTTCAGGCCCAGGAGAGGGGTCAGGCCTTTCAGCTCCCCACATAGGCCAGAGCAAAAGCTAGAAGGCTGTTGGGTCCTAGAAAGGGAGACACGTGGGTAGGGGTCATGGACATTTCAGCTGGGGGTAGGTGTCAGGAGATAGGAGATGGACTCTCGGGCCGTGAGTGTAGAAGCAAAAAGGAGGGGGGCAGTGTGCCACTCGCAGTACCTCCACGTGGTCAGGAAGACGGGCCCAGTAGCTTCTAGCCAGGGAGAGGCCACCGCACCGTTTACACAAAATGCCTCTTGGCGGCCCACACGGACCCGGCGACCTCTGAGAACGGACACGGTGGACAGCAGGACAGCCTGGTCTGCGGCCCCGCTTCCCAAATTTGCCTCAGTCCTGTTAGCTGGCAGCAGCTTAATTCCCGGGACCGTCTGCTGAACGTTCACCAGTGCCGTGGCCCGCTGCCAGTCCCCAGCGCCAGCCAGTCTGCCCTTACCCTCCGGTTGGCGCCTGCCTGCCCCCTCCCCACTGCCCAGACTGCCACACCCTGGATCCTCCCCAGTGCAGCCCAGCACCCACCCACCCTCAGCCTAAGTCGCCTCCTTTGCCTTTCAGGAATCTTGCCAGGATGGGGCACAGCAGCTCAGGTTTGGGGGAAAAGATCCAAATGCAGCGAGTCTGGGGGAAGGGGGCTTGGATGCTCCGCAGCTCGCACTGGTTTCCGGAGTTTCTTATCAGCTCGGGAAAGCCCCACCTTCATTTCTGCCCTCGCCCCACTTTCCCCCACCCAGGGCTGGGCAGCGAGGGTAAGTTGATCTCCAGCACACAAATACCACCAGCTGCTTCACCCATGGAAGGCCCTGAGAACAGGGGCGTGAGGGAGAAGATCCTTAAAATAAACTCTTGGGCATCCCCCTCACCAGCTGACTGGCTTTCCGGAGCCTTGCGGGTGAGTTTCCAGTTTGTGGTGGCAACAGCAGCAGGACAGGGCGTGGAGGGAGAGGGTGAAAGGGACAGCTCCAGCTTTGGATGCTGGGGCTTTGGGAAGCAGAAGCCAAACATTCTTTATCCCTTACACCCCAAGGAGGGGTGCGCAGGGGCGGGGGGGGGGGGAACATTTGAAAAAAAATCCTTTTTCTTGGAAGCAGTGAAATCCTCCCTCCCGGTCTTTCCCATCACATCAGCCTGGGTCCAGAAACTGCCCTGCAGCCAACCGGAAAGTCCTTCCTCCACTGGGAGAGCGGGGCCAGGCGCCAGGACGGCAGTGGAGGACCTGGCCTTTCCACGATGCCCTCTGGCCCAGACCTGGGCCCCGCCCGCCAAGACTGACGGATGCCAGTGCTATCACCGCAGAAGGCCTGATGGCAGGTGCCTGGGCCAGGGGCAGGTGCCCTGGGAGGGCATGTACAGCAACTGTAAATAACCCTCTTCCCCGTCCAGGAGTCCACACTGGACTCCAGTCTCCATGGAGACAAAGGCTTTCTGGAGCCACAGAACCTCCTTAGCAGGACAGCAGTGAGAGACCCAAGAGCCGGCCCCCCGGTCCAGACTGCCTTCATTCAAGCAACTCTAGGGGATCATTTTGCGGGGGGCTCCTAGCAAACCTCTTATTTATCTTATTTATTTATTTATGGTTATTTATTTATTTATTTATTTATGGGATTCTCGCTCTCTCAGTTGCCGTTAGCAGTATTCAAGTATTTATTTATATGGAGAGGGGTGTGTGTGTGTGTGTCTGTGTGTCTGGGGAGGAGGGGGAACTTCTACAGTATTTTTGTGCATCTCTCTTTTTTTTCCCTCATGTCTCCATGGATGGGATTTGAGAGGCTGGATGTGGATGGGAATGTTGGCCTTTTCCCTGAAGGGGAGACTCACAGAGCTCTGAGCTTGGAACACCCTGGAGGTGGCCCGGAAGCACTGCAGACCAAAGGTTCATGATTAAGTCCACGTCCGGTGAGGTTCAGGCCTGCGCTCCAGCCCCCTGCCCCCCAGCTACCTAACTGAGGTACCAGAAAGATGAAACAGTCAAGAGGCTTAGGAGCTAAGGTGCTGACCTGACATGGCAGAGTCACAGCTGACATGGGGGTCAGAGTCTAAAGTTAGCAGGTAAGGCCGAAGCTGCAGAGCCTGAATCACCTGGGAGCGTCCTTTCGGGAGGCACCCAACGTGAGACAGACGTGCACATCTTAGTCTCACCCTCCTTCCAGGGCACAGTTAGTGGGTGAGATCATTTGCTCTTCTGAGCCTAGCTAGTTGGTTTCATGTAAGTTAACACATGCTCCTGACTCCCCCTTAGCTAATTTCTCCCCATCCCCTGAGAGCTCAAGGCTGCTTTGTGGACAAGCCTGCCTTGTGAGGGGGTTATCGGCCATCCTGGGAGAGACACACAAACCCAAAGCAAAAGCCTTTTTCTGTGATCTCAGAAGAGAGCTCACAACTATTTCTGAACTTAGAAACAAACAAGGTGAAAGGAGCAGCCGGAGGTTCCCACCAAGAAGGTCATTCTGGAACCTGTGTTGGGAACCAGGATCCAGAGGTCTTGACCAGCCCTGCCTCTCTGAGCAGCCAGCAGTGTCTTCTGGCTGCTGGCTGGAGGGGCTCCTGCCCTTTTCAAAGTCGCTCTTCACTGCCTTGACGTGGCCAGCTTGCCTGGTCTAGCTTTGGGTTTGGTGAGACTTTTGCAACATCCCTGATTGTTTCCCTGGCAATGTGACTTTACTCTGCCCTAACCCAAGCAAGGGAGTACCCCTAGCCTGGGAAAGTTTGCAAGAGCTTAAATGCCTCCTGGGAGAAAAATCTGTCCCCTCCCTGTCACTTGGTGTGTTTCTCGAATTTCCTTTACATTTCCTTGTTTTCCATCCAAAAATAAAACTGTTTGGGGGGTGCTGGTAAACCTTGTTTTACCAGAACCCCCAATCCCTGGCACTGCTGTTCCTCTGCCGAATTCACCTTCATTACACTTCTGCTTCCAGGGAATAAGGCAGATTGCCTGAAACCTGCTCATGGTGAGGACTTATTTTTAAAAGCAGTATGGAAAAAGAGAGGGAGATGTGGTTTGAGGTCAAGCAACATTCAGCCCTTCGCCCTTCCTGCTATGGATGGCCGCTAGATGAGTGGAGCGAGGCAAATTGCTTCCTTTCTCTGGGCCAGAGTTTCCACCTTTGAGTAGTGGAGGAATTTTTGAGGTACAACCCTAAACGTTGACCTGAGGCCTGGGCAATTCTTCAAAGACAGCGTGAGTTCACTGAGACTTAGAGGAAAAAAGGAAAACATCCTCAGACATTTTTAGGAGGTTCTCAATCATGAGAATAAAACCTAAAAGCAATATGCGAACTCCCTTCAGTTGATTCGGAAAAGCTACTTCACATCCCCCACCCAGGTACGTTCTAGTTCATCCAGGTTGGACTGCTTTCCTACCTCCACGTCTTCCCTTCTTTGATGGAAAGTCAATCTTTCAGAAGCAAAAGATAAAAAATAAAACACAAATTATGATGTTTGAAAGACACGAGGGTCTCAGTCTCAGAGAGCCCGCATCTCTTCATTTACTTAGACCATCTTCCTTTCCAAAAGGCTTTGCTTGAAGAGGCCAGCATTTGGGGTGCTCCCAAAGGTTTGAAAGCACATTTATTTCTTCTCGAGCCCCACCTCCGTCTTCTCGTCTGCTGCATCCCTTCCCACGAATATTCAGAAGAGTCTCAGGTGCACGTGTCTTGCTTTGGTTTCTTCTCCAGCTGAACAGAAAATTTTGTCTGATTAAAAAGAAAGAAAAACAAAAAAACCAAAAAAGGCTCCTCAAACCACACCTCCTCTTCCACTGGCCAGCAGTGTCCAGCTGAGGAGCTTAGGGTAGATGCAGTGTCATCAAGCGATGCTTTGTTGTGACCTTTTCCTTCTCACTTCCGCACCCATGAGCCAGTGATACTGATGGAGTTGTTGTCTCCCCTCTGTCTGTGGCTGTTGTTTTGGGTTATTTTTGGATTTTTGAGGGTTTGTTTGTTTTGTTTGTTGGTGGTAGTTGTTTTGCATTGTAAATACCATGATGGGGATTCCTTATCAGAACGTGGCTTATTTAATAATTTATTTCCTATTTATTGAGTGGTATTGGGAGAGGTGAAGGACCACCTCTGCTCCCGAATTGCTATTGGGAATCCGTCCGTCTCTCAGCTCTGGGTGCGGCTGTCTGCAGTGGGGACGTTATCGCCCAGGTAATGAGTGCTAGAACCACCCAGCAAATTGGAATTGGCGGAAATGGAGGCTTCAGTCGTACAAATTAAGCTCAAAGGGAACTAAAACACTGGTTATCTCCAGGAAATCCTCATTTAGATGGAAATTAATTGAGGAACGAAACGCTTGTGCACAGACTTAACTTCTATTAAAAAGTCACAACTCCTTGAAAAAGAGAGAGAGAACAAAAAATTGTAATTCCTTTTCTGTGGCCAAGAAAAGCTATGCCTCATCTTCTAACGAGCTGAGCCAAAAAGATGGGAACAGCATTCTTTTGTGGTTCTCTTGCCTGTATGTGTCTGTCTGGGTGAAATGGAGTGGTTCTCAGGCCTCAGTCTTATCATCTGTAAAATGGGGCTTGGCCTAAGTGTTCTTGGCAGGCTGGAGGGGAGGGAATTCCAACTCTGATGCTGTGAGTTCCAAACTGTCAGATATAGGGTCCCTCGTGTCTTCTGTAGGTTGAAGGGCCGGAAGAAAATAAAGAAGCAGGGCATGGACTTCATCTGCAGGGTGAGGTGGGAGCAGCTGAGTCCTGCAGTCAGACACGGGAGACCTCCAGGTGCTGCCCCCTGGGAACCCTTGTGGCCTGGGTTAAAGCCCTCTGTATGAGCTTGAACTTCTCTCCAAGCCCAGCCATCCAGTGTATTCAAAGGAGAGACCAGGATGGCTTTGCCCGTGCTCTGGATTTCACCACCGTGTATCGTGTCAGGCCATGTTTTGTACAATTGTTCAAACAAGCCAGTGACACAGGTCATATTTCCACTTTTCAGATGAGAAAACTGAGGCCTGGGAAGGGGGAACTAACGTGCCCAGGCTCCCTTGAGCTCCAGCCTGCCTGACTGCACGCCCCACCCACGCTCTTCTCGGTAGCTCTCTCTTGTCAGGCCTAGGCTGTGAGGACTTCTCTGTGTGCTGTATCTTTTCTCTCCCAATACCCAGCTGTTTCCTCCAGCAGTCATTGGCCAAGGACCTAGTAAAATCTACCACATCAGCCCTGGGGGCTTGATCCACATCAGGGGCTGGAACTCCCACCTGGAAAACCCCGACCTGGGGGATCCGCCACCAGCCCAGCTCAGCCTGAGCAGCCGGCCTCTGCCCACATGCCCACATCAGAGGGGGAGAAGCTCCTGTGTTCTCCAGCATCCTGGGACCCTGTGCTCTACCCAGTGATACAGTGGCCATGGCTTGTTTGATATCTGGTGTCCACAGCTAAGCATAACCTACCCTAGGTTTCCGATTTTTTTCAGCCTGTACGAAACGTGTCTCTGTTCTAATAAAAGGTTCCATGGTATGGTGTTCTCATCCGTGGCCCAGCGTCCTCTGTCTACATCGGGTGCCCAGAAGCAGAGGGAGGGTGGCTGGGAGACGGGGACAGAGAACAGCCAAGTGGCACCTGCTTTGGTGCTACACATCATCACAGTGTTCATCCTGCTCCTTTCCTCACAACAAGCCTGTAAGTATTTGGGGTTCATATATACATTCATAGCAGCCACCTTTCCCTAAGCCTTTTTATCTTGGTCTTCAGCACAACCTATACTAGGTATAGGTATTAAGATCTCTTTTCTACCAAGAAGGAGACTGAGGCCCAGAAAAGCAAAGTCACCAGCCCAAGGTCACAGAATCGATGATAGGATCCCGGCGGGCTGACTCCAGACCCCAGGCTGTTCACTGCTCTGCCCTACAACATCTGCTTATGCAGTAAGTGACCACTTTCCTTTGGTACAATGGCTTTTCTCCGAGGCCTTCACGGTCGGGAGGAAGTTCAGCGCAGGGCATAGATTTGGGAGTCCAGAGACCTGGATTCTAGTCTGGACGCCGTCATTATTAGCGCTGTGCCGCGGAGCAAGGAC